AGAATGACTAAGAAGATAAAATACCAAAGAGAGTTGTCACATACTACGTAGAAGAATGTGTATTCAACTTCCATGGTACAGAATGCTTTCATATGTCACTAGACATTTTCCTGTTTTTTAAAATCTTTTTTTTTTGCACATCAATAATGAGGATTTTGTGATTTGTGGCAAAATATTCTATAATTAAAGTGATTAGTTTTTCAATGAGGATGAAAAACAACAAAGATAAATCACTTTGTTCACAGTGATTGCATAAAAACACATATGAAGCCGAGAACACAATATAATACTGCAAACAGATGGCCCTATAAAAAGCCAGAATGAACCCAAGTTTTCAAATACTTTAACAATTAATTTCCATATAATTGGAGATAAAGGTAATAAATTCTCATTCTCCTTCTCCTCTTCCTCCTTGAGGTTGCTCTCACTATTTTGCACATTATTTTGCTGACAAGTCAGTCAGATTCACCATAGACTTGACTTTTCCTGATTGAACTGAATGCAAGTGCCCAGATGGCATTTCCCCCCAATAAGGAGTCCTTTTGATTGTTAATTATATGGATGCATTTCTGCATAGCATATAGCCTTGCCACTGGTAGGGCAATTTCTTCCCCTATGGAGATCAGGAAGAAGCATACTTCTTGTAATCTCAAATGTGATCACAGCCGTATTGCAGGAGGAACTGTTTACCATGTTCCTTCTTGAGGGTACTTCTCTGTGTTAGATAGCCAACTTCATGACTTCAGTCTTCTTTTTTAAAAGTTATGGTTGCTAATGCTGTGATAGGAAGCAGTCACAAAGCACTTCAAAGGAAGTGAATTATTTTGAGCCTTTTCTTTCAGGTTTCAGATGTGGATAGAAAGTTTATTCATCACACTGGTTGATAAATTTGATTACCATTTAAATGGAAGGCACACATTCTCCTCTGATTATGTTAGAACTTTCTGTGACCTTCAATGCCATCAACCATGGCATCTTTCTAGGTCACTTATAAGGTTGAGAATTTGAGGTTGTGTGCTTCCTGCTACCTGCCTTCCATTGACGATCTGTTCAGTGCATGAGTCAAAAAGAGGGCCATGAGAATATTTACAGACCTCTCGCATCCTGGACATAAATTGTTTCACTCCTACCCTCAAAACTACGTTATAGAGCACTGCACATTAAGACAACTAGACACAAGAAGAGTTTTTTCCTGAACGCCATCACTTTGCTAAACAAATAATTCCCTCGCCACTGCCAAACCATTACAAGGATGCATTACTATTACTATTAGTTTTCTCATTGTTCCTATCACCTACCTCCTCCCACTTATGATTGCAAGACTGTACCTTTGTTGCTTGTATCCTTACAATTTATATTGATCTCGATTGTTTCCTGATTACTTATTTGTACCCTATGACTATCATTAAGTGTTGTACCTTATGATTCTTGATGAATGTATCTTGTCTTTTTANTGCTATAGAGGGCAGCATCTGCTTTGGAAGGAGGTGCTTACTGTAAGTTATATAAGAAAATGTCTTAGAGTTGTTGTACATGCAGGAGAACCACATTACACAATGACAACCTCACTTTCTTTCTGGATTCTCATTCTCATGTTTTCCTTCAGCTTGCTATAAAGAAGCCTTAGTCTTTAGGAGCCATAGTTGATAATTTCCAACCTTTAATTTATATAGACTTTCCCAAGTTGTGCCTGGTTTAAACAAATAACAAGTTCTTAAATTGAGTATACTGCCAAGAAGCACTTGGATAAATCAAACTTGTCTTTTAATTCTGGGAAAAAAATTGAAACTAATTTCCTCAGGGCTGAGTTGATCCTAAATAACACTCAAATAGCTGGGATTTAGAGCTGGCTGTGAGTTGCAGTAATTATGAAATGAAAATCTTGCAGTAAAGAAATGTATTTAGTACCTTCTATATTTGTTGAAAATAATGTGTTGGAATAAATGTGGCAAGGCCTCTCAAAATATAATTTAATCTTGGATTTATGTTCACCTCAATCAAATTTAATGAACCCCAAATATTCATAGAAATTCAAGATCATCTCTCTAGATCATCTTGCATATGGATCAAAACAGGATATACTTAACTGTATTAACTGAGAAGGATTTCTGAGATATAACATAAAAATAAAGCAGTCAAAACATAACCAAAACTTCAAACCTTATACTTTACTAAATTATTATTGTGATTTTCTGATATCAAGTTTTGTTTATACCCATTTTTAAAGCAACTAGACAAGATCAAAGTTAGTAATGAGATAAGATTAGGGATATAAATTTCTGTTCTATTTACAAAATATTGTCAGTACATAATGAAATGTTCTGCTTTGCTCCCCATACTGTAATTCCATCAATACTTTCAGAAATGTGTAATCATATAGGCAAGGAGTTCTAAAGCCCGATTAAAAAGAAAAGAAGAAAAAGAACATCCTTGACATATCCTCATCATAAATTTAACCAGAGAGAAAGTGCACCATTAATAATCACACATGATTTAGGAGTTGAATAAATTATATCAATGCAAAATGTAAAACTCAGGCAAAATCCCAAAATAAATCAAGACCCACTTCACAAACTGTCAAGAGATCATATCAAATACTGTCTTCACTTCCAAAGAAATTATAGTGACTAGGTCATATTAATTTTGAGTTAAAGCACGAGCATCAATTAAAATTCTGTTATTGTATGAATCTAGCTTACAATGAAAGAGCATGCTGATAATCTACAGGCCAAGGTGGCTTTTAAAATCTTAGTATCCACATTTATCCAGGAATTAGGTCTATGGTTAGAACAGATGGTAGCATCATTGCCTGATTGAGGGATAACTGAAATCTAGATTCATTAAAATTAGAAAACAAAAATGTATTCCAAAAAGCTTGACTGCACACCTCAAATTAAAAAGTAAGCAAAGCCTCAATATTCTTTTTATACCTATTGTAAATATTCCCCAATTTCATAGATTTAATTCTAATGACTGCCAACAGTTCAGCAATTCGAGTCTGACTGGCTCAAGGTTGATTCAGCCTTCCATCCTTCCAAGGTTGGTAAAATGAGGACCCAGATTGTTGGGGGCAAGAGGCTGACTCTGTAAAACTGTCTAGAGAGGACTATAAAGCACTGTGAAGCGATATATAAGTGTTAACGCTATTGCTATTGATCCAGAAATGGATAAGATACAAAGAAGAATAGAAATTATTTTTTTCTCTTCTGTAATGTAAATTTATCCAATTGTTTGTTTTCTTATGAAGTGTGTGCAATATATAACTTCAAAAAATGCTTTCCCCCTCTATTGTTACATTTGGTATTATTGTTGGTGGGTGTATTCTGCTGTGTACTTTTGTACTTTTAAATAGCTTGATAATAGAATCATTTTTAAAAAAATGCAGCTACCTCTTTGGGACAGATAATTTAGTTATTAATTCAGCTCATCTCTATGGATGAAATAACTAAATTGTCAAGCACCAGAGAAATCAAGAGATCCAGACAGTGTATAAAGATTTATTGTAAGCTTAAGATTTCTACAAGAACCTGACCTACTAATGATCAAGGGAAATTAGCGGGATTTAAGAATAGAAAGGAATTCAAAGTGGGCTGGACTTAAATCTCTTGTGGATGCATGACTGTTGACATGTTTGACTCCTCCCTTGGGCTCAGCCTGGTTATCTCCTACACAAATGTTGCTAATGGAGGGAAATGGGTAGAGGAAATGGAATCTACCATAGAAAATTCTTTATAAAGTTCTCCAGCTACATTTAATGTATTATTTTTGTAAATGAATAGCAATCTGTAGAGACTATTCAACAGTGGAAGCAAAGAACGAAGAATGGCCATATTTATTTCCTTGTTGGCTAGTTTTTCCCCAAAGCTCTTCCCCTTATTTTGCCTTTCTCCTTTTCAACAATAGATAGACT